AAAAAAAAAAAAAAAAAAAAAAAAAAATCTAAAGTAGTTACCAGATGTTTTACACATTAAAATGGCCTTCTCTCTAAAAATAGAAATTAATAATGAAAGAAAAAATGTTTTTGTGTATACGCACCCTTCTTGGAGACTAATGCATATGACTCTTAAATGTAACATGTCATTCATTAAACCCACTCAGAATGGTGCCCCTCGAAGTTTGCGTGCTGCCCTGTGGAGGTTTGCTGAGCTGGCTCACCTGGTTCGCCCTCAGAAATGCAGGTGAGTTGTACACTCTGGATGATGATAATGATGATGACGATGATTTTTGGTGGGGGGCCAGCTCCTACTGATCCTTTGCATTTCAGATCAAACGCCACTTCTTCAAATGTCTTCTCTGTCTGCTCCATCTACTCTGCCCCTCCAAATTGTAATCGACATTGCTCTGTTTATATTTCCTTGGCAGCCCTGATTTCTATTAGAAATATTCTTATGCATTTTATCATTGTGCTGGTTCATTTTCTGTCCCACCCTCCCCAAGAGACTTAAGGGGTGTGCACCCCAGGACAACAGGGGTCTTACCATCTTGTTCTCCACGGCAGCTCAACACTGGTAACAGGGTCTGCCCATAGTACTTGCTTAGAAGATGCTCATCAAATGGTTGAAGGTTGAGGGATCAACCTCATTATTGCCAACTATAGGAGTTATAGAAAAATATGCATTTGTCTATTACGTGGGTTAGAAATATGAATGTTTAACTATGAATAAAGTTTTCATTCATTGAAACAGTTTCTGTCTTTTTTTTTTTTTTTTTTTTTTAAAGATGACCGGTAAGGGGATCTCAACCCTTGACCTGGTGTTGTCAGCACCACGCTCACCCAGTGAGCTGACCGGCCATCCCTATATGTGATCCGAACCCGGGGCCTTGGTGTTATCAGCACCGCACTCTCCCGAGTGAGCCACGAGCCGGCCCGAAACAGTTTCTGTCTTAATGGATTGAGAAACAGAAGCAGCGCCACTCTCCATCAACTCCTTCCTTCTCTCCTTAACTCGCTCCATCCCTAATGGTAGAGTAGCCTTAACCCTCACTATTAATGTGAAACGAGGATTTAATCCATTAAGGTTGAGTTTCAATAAGAATCCTATGTGGTTGCAGAGGTACCCTCACTAAGGAAATTTCTTTTTATATAACCTTTTTGTTTTATTATCCCTATTTTGAAAAATTTGTTATATTTCTGAAGCACCACATCCCAAGTTCTTTTCATAGCAGGCAAAGTGACCTAAAAAATATATAATTGGGTTATGTCATTCACTTACTTAAACTCTTATTCCCACCGCAGTGCTGTTCAGATAAAATCCAGACTCTTCACTAAGGCCCTGGGCCCCATTGGTCCTGTTACCTAAGATACTATCTGCTGACTCATTGGTCTGATTTTAGTTCTTCAAACAAGTCAGGTTTCTCTTCCTCTTGATGGCTGATTTATTTTTTCCCTCAGGTCTCAGCAAAAAAGTCATCTCCTTAGAGAAACCCACTTAGCCTCCCTGTCTAATATATTCCCAGGTGCTGCTATGTCTTTCACATCATGAAAGTCGTCAGTGTGTGATCTGTGGCTCTGCCCATGCCTTGTCTCTGCCACTAGAGGGTGGAGGCCACCTCAGTGCAGAACCCCGGCCTGCTCTGTCAGTGATTGTTCAGTGTGGATTGGCCTGTCCTGTGACTCACTTCTCTTGTGCCTTACACATTCTGCTTTTTGTCTCGAGAGGGTCAGGTGTCTAAGGTCTCAATTAGTTTGTACACTTTAAAAAATTTTTTTTGAAATACTCTTTTTTCAAGAAAGCTTTATTTTCATTTCTTAATTCTGTTTTTAATATAGCGTTTTCTTATATTATCTATTACATTTAAAAATGGAAAAAATGGAGTATTTTAATAACAATTATAATTTACTGCAAATGATTTTTAAACTCAGCTTTTTAGAGTTCTTTGTGATCCCAGGAGATGTGAGGGATGTGTCTCCCAACACTGGAACTTCATCTGCATTTAGTTCTCCTGTTCTTTTAGCTGAGTTTTGTCAGTCTCCATTTAGGACTATTTTGCATATAAAGCAGGCTTGTCCCTAACAGGGAATGAATTGCATATATTTCTCATTAAAGGAGACTGGAAGAATGACTAATGTTCCTTTCCCATATGCAGACCTTACCTGGTGAACCTTCTGCCGTGCCTGACTCGAACCAGCAAGAGACCCGAGGAGTCAGTCCAGGAGACTTTGGCTGCAGCTGTGCCCAAGATTATGGCGTCTTTTGGCAATTTTGCAAATGACAGTGAAATTAAGGTACAATTGTTGCCTCAAGTTACAAATATGTGAGTGGTGCTGAGTGTGGGTCTTGTCAGGGTCAGGGCTGGGACAGGCAGCCATCCGAGGGTACTTCTTGAGATTCATGTGCCTCACAGTTTAGACTGCCACATTTGTGTTATTTTGAGGCACACTATGAGAGTTTTTTCACTCCTGCTTTTTTATTGTAGTGTAGAGTTTAATAGGGAGATGGTTCATAGATGCAAATTCAAAAGCATTTTCCCAGAGCAGATCAGTTTTTGGTGTACTACACTGACTTCCTAACTGAGTTGAGGAGGGACAACTGCTCTAGACTGCAGTTCAGTGAAAGCTTACTGATGAGACCTTGTGGGTATGGATGCCCTGCAGCCACCAGGGCCCACATGGCTTCCTGTTTGTTTTGTGTCCCAACAAGCCACCTTCAAACCCACTTCAGTATTTTGTTTATAATGACCAGAAATTGTGACTTGGAAACACGGTTTGCAGATTACAGAATTCTTCGCTTCTCCTTTTTTTGTAGGTCAGTCCTGGGTTTGAGCCTGGGTACCCCTCCTGGGAAGTATTGTCATGTAATGGTTAGAGCACACCTTTTGGTATCAGATGGACTTGGGTTAGAATTCTGCCTCTTTACTAGCTCTTTTTCTTTAGGCAAAATGCCCAAATAGCTTTGAGCTTGTTTCCTTCGTACTCTGAAAAACAGGACATTAATGATACCCATGTAGGACTATTCTGAGTATGGAATGAATGAACACATGTTAAGAGTGTAGCATAGTACCTAGCCCAGTGGAAGTGCTCGGACGTTAGCTGCTACGCTGTTACTAGCTGTATGATCCTGGATAAATTATTTGACCTCTCTCACTTTTTTTCTTTGAGCTTCAAAGTTTTCTTATTAGTACTAAGGAGATGTTAAAACCAGTTTCATGGAGTTTTAGAGTGAAGGGAGATCATGGGCCTAAAGAATTTAGTATGATAGCTAAATCATTGTGCTCAGTAATTGGTCACCAAATTCCGTCCTTCCTGAACCTTTGGCATTTTAAGAAATCCATTTATTCCTCTACCTCTCTGCCCATTTATGTTTATTCAAATTTGTTATCAGTGAAATCCAATAATACCAAAAGAATTATAGACAGAGACAGTAGACCTCCTCCTGCTTCATCTCTTAATTCTTGTGTCTCAGAGACAAACCCAGCTCTTAGTGTTTCTTCTGGTATTTACCTCCACATTTCTAAATAACATGCTTACATTGCCACTTTTGGATTTTTTCAGTTTTAGACATTTTTTACTATAGAAGAGATGGATTTAACTCTAACTCTTCTCCCACCTTTTCACTATAGGTATATCAGTATTCAGTGTGTTCATTATTATCTCAAGTAAATAGTCACGGCTGGTTATGTATGATTATATTTCTTTGGTTATATTTCTTTGTACAACTTTTTGTTTTCCTGGAGTTAATAATTGTCTCTTTTCTGCTTGCCTGTTATTCTTTGGCCATTTATGTCTTCTCATATCTTCTGACAGCTTTGTAAAATATGTCTCAGTACAATTTTCCCCTTGACAGGTAGTTAATTGGATCCATTTTCCCAGTGGAGTCACTGTCTTAGCAGTCTCCAGCTCTCTGCTGCAGTCTGTCAGCTACTCTTCACTCTTCAGCTCTGTTGCACAGTCGTGTCCCAGGGCTTCTCTTTGCTGTCATCCTGGAAATTCCCTCTGCCCCTTTCCTGTTGGATGTCCAGTTGCTGGATGCCATGTCTTCATCTTTCTAGATTTACTCCTTGTTTTGATGGAGCACATCCTCTAGTAGCTTTCTGAAAAAGGATAAATGGGAGGCAAACAGATCTTGCATTCCTAAAAATGCCTCTATTCTCCCTTACACTTACTGGCTACAGAGTTCTGGGATGGAAATCACTTTCCTCATTGTCTTGTATTTCCAGCATGGCTATGGGGAAGTCAAATGACCTGATTCCTTAGCATTTGAATGTGTCTATTCTCTAGAAGCTTTTCATTTTGGGGCAGATGGTGTGCTGGGTACTTGGTAGGCCTTTTAATGTGAGGAAATTTTTTTACATTTCTTTAATAAGTTCTTTCCCTTTGTTTTCTGTGTTCTCTTTCTGAAATTTGTTAGTTAGATGTTGGTCCTCCTGGATTGATTCACATTTTTATTATCTTTTTTTTCTTTCTTCTGGACTTTCTAGATGTCCATCTCAAACCCTTCCATTCAGTATTTTTTCCTGCTGTTATGTTTTTAATTTCTGAGAGCCCTTATGTTCAGAATGTTTGTGTCGGATGGTATCCTCTTCTTGCTTCATGAGTGCACCATCTTATCCTTCTGGGGATATTGATTACAGTATTCTTGACATCTTCTTTTGACCTCTACATTGTCTGTTTCTTCTGACTTCCTCTGTTCTATTTATTTTGGTCTTTTTTATCTCAAAGGCCATCTATATAGATTTGAGTGGGATACTAAAAGAGTTATTGGAAACAAGTATGGGCAGGGCTTGTCCTCTGCTGGGCTTACTGAGGTGATGCATGGTGAGCCTGGTTTTTCCATTGCTGGGTCTTTGAATGTCAGTATCTGTAAGTCTTTTCCTCTTGAGCCAGTCGGTATCCTTAGAGGAGGAGTCCTTATTCTCCTGCTTGGAGGCGTAAGCTTGGCTGCGTTTGTCCTGGAACCCTAGAATGGAAGGGGGCTGATGATAGCACTGGTTAGAATACAGACTTTTACTTAATTTTTCTGCTTTGTGTTTGTGTCTCACATCTGTCCTCAGCTATGCAAACATCTCTTGAGCTTATACCTCCCCATGTTTGCAGAGATGGGGTAGGGAGGCCCTTCCTGGGCTGCCTCAGGTCAGACAGGAGACTGGGGTTGAGTGGTTGGGACTTTGCACAAGGAGCAGTAAGACAGCAGCTGTCTTATCCCATAGCTGCTGCATTTCAGATGAGTCTTGTGCTTCCACAGCCCGAGCTCTTCTTGGAGCTCTGGCTTAACTAGGCTCACTTTTCACTGGTAGCCTCATACCTTCCTCCCCAGCCCCTAGGAAGGCTCATGCTTGAACTCCACCTGTGGGCCAACGAGTCAGTCAGTCACCCTTGTTACTTGTCAGCTTCCAGAGTTTTGTTGACACCTATGTGAATAATGCTGCTGTGACCCTTCTCGTACGTGTTTCTGGGAGCCCATGTACAATTTTCTGTTGTGGGTACCTTGTAAGCTGGTGTCTCCATCCTGTTTTTTTCTGTCCTTGTAAGTTTATGTTTTTACGACTTCTTTACATGATTTTTGGGAGGTTTCTGGGTAGCAGAGGTTCACACGTTCAGTCCAGCAAGTGGGATCAGAGACTTCTAACCTAACCTCCGGTGTATTCTCATTCTCAAGATTACCTGTCAAACACTGGACTCCCTAGACTTTGTGGGTTTTTTTCCTGATATACAGTGTGCAAACAGGATGGTGCATAAATCATATAAGTGTACCCCCTGCTGAATAATCACAAAGTGAATTTACTCTTGTAACTGCAGTCCAGGTTGAGAAATAGATTATTACCAGAAGCCCCCTCGTGCTCTTTCCCTACTGTCCGCTTCTTCCTTCTCTCCAAAGGTGATCACTGTCCTGCTTTCTAATGCCATAGAGAATCTGTTTTGAAATTCTGTGTACGTAGAATTGTATATGTATTCTTTTTGTCTGGTTTCTTTTGCTTAACATTAAGTTTGTGAGAGTCTTCCGTGCTATGGTGTGTATTACTAATTTATGTAGTTTTCATAGCTGCATAACATTTCACTGTATGAATATATCACAGTTTATCCCTGTATTGTATCTGGACATTTGGGTTGTTTCTAGTTTTGGGCTAACGTGATTAATGCTGCTGTGAACCTTCATGTGTGTGTCTTTTGGAGCACAGGTATAATTTCCTTTTGTGGGTACCTAGAAATGGAGTTGCTGGCTTATGTGGTATGTGTATCTCAACTTCAGTAGGTACTGCCAAGTAGCTTCCTCCATGGTTGTACCCGTGTCCCCTTCCCTCAGTGATGCAGGGAACTCAGCTGCTCTGTGTCCTCACCAGCACCTGCAATTGTCGGGCCTTTTAATTTCAGCCATTCTGCTGAGTGCGTTCTGGCCCCATGTTATGATTTTAATTTCCATTTCCATTCCCAAAGTACTCTTGCCTCTAATGTTTAATGATTTATGCATCTTTTCCCTTTTGAAGTGCACTTAAAAATATGCCATGCATGTATTTTGAAGAGTGGATCTCTCCACTCTAAAATATAGTGCGCTTCCTCCCTGTCATGAGAAGATTTCAAGCCTAGTCTAGGTAGCTCCCATCAGCTGCCTTCTGGAAGATGTTCTTGGGACTGTGGAAATTTAGACTTTAGAAGGCCCCTTGGAGCTCTCACATGAAATTTAATTGTTTATTATTCCAAATTTTTTAAATTCACAGTGGGCTGACTCTTTATAATGCCTAGTTCTCATTGTGCTAAATCTGGACTAATATAAAATTATTCTTAATTTGCTTTTTCAGTAATGTGTATGTGTGTCTTTTCAGTAAAAGGAGTTCTTTAAGATGCTAATATCTTTTCTTGCAGCTAAAGAAGTTTATTCTCCAGGTGGTGTCTCAGGGAAGAACTGGAACCAATGCCCCTGGGGGAGTCTGGGGCTGGGGCCTGGGCCTATGCCGCATGGGTTCCTGAGGTCTAATCTGTAAATTCTGGTTTATGCTAATTACACTGTTAAAGGAGAAACTTATTTTTATTAATTTTTTGTTTGTTTGTTTGGCAGCTGGCTGGCACAGGGGTCAAACCCTGGACCTTGATGTTATCAGTGCCATGTTCTAACCAACTGAGCTAACTGGCCAGCCTGAGGGGGAAACTAATTTTTAAATCAGTTATACTGGTTTAGTAGTTTCTTGCTCATTTTCCTGGGCATAGCCATAACAGAGCTCCTGACTCACAGTCAGTAATGCTTAGTGCAGGCTGAACAATTGGGGTCAAGTCATGGCTCAGAACATAGTTTAGAATAATGGGAAGTGGATGTCCTTGAGTAACATAATTGCCAAACTAATGCAGCTAGAAGTTCACCCCTTTTCATTCTTTGGGTATTTTTGCTAAGACACAAATGGCCATTGTAAGAATTATAGCGCCTTCTCCTTTGGGTTATCCTGGAGGTCCAGTGAGAAAGTTTCATTCTCTAATTTCTTAGGAGAACAGTTGTAGGTAGTATGCTATTCTACGCAGCTGAGTTGCAGGTGTTTCCAGTCCTGAGAATGTCTCTAGGTGACATGAACAGCACTTTTTGTTTTTTTTCCTTTTTGTCTTTTTTACTGACCGGTACGGGATCGCAACCCTCGGTGTCGCGCCTGTACTGGGGACCGGCAACGGGATCGCAAACCCTCGGTGTCGCGCCCGCGCCGCGCTCAGCCAGTGAGCGGGAACCGGTCACCACATGGGATCCAAACCTTCAGCGGGAGCGCTGCCGCACTCCCAAGCGGCGCACTCTCCAGTGCGCCACCGGGCTGGCCCTGAACAGCACTTTTATAAGCCATCTTTTAGGCTGGGACATTACTATAGTTGGCTAGTACTCATTTCTCCTTAACTTCGTTATTTGTCTCTTTATTTTTTTGCTATCTTTATTTGACATAGTGTCATGTTACTGACCCTATCCCCCAATATTGTGGGTATACCTTATCCAGAAGCTGAGGCCTCTACCCTCACAGAGAGGACATAGATGCTGAGCAAGTCCCTAAATGCGGGTTATAAAAGAAGTAAATAGACTATGTATTTGTAAACTACTCTTAAATATCCCAAATTTGGGGTGCTTCCATTCAGCTAGAGGAAAAAAAATCTCAAATTGTTTATAATTTATGTTCTGCAAGAATTTGGAGCTTCTGATTCAAGTTGTTTAATGAAATACAGGATAAGCTTCATAGGAGCTTCATTTTTTATCTACTTGGCATTTTGCTTCCATAGGTTCTGCTAAAGGCTTTCATAGCAAATCTGAAGTCAAGCTCCCCTACCATTCGGCGGACAGCAGCAGGAGCAGCAGTGAGCATCTGCCAGCACTCCAGAAGGACGCAGTATTTTTATAGCTGGCTACTAAATGTGCTCTTAGGTAAGGTGGAGGTGTATGAGGTAGCATCTCCAGCATTTACTCAAGATGGACCTTTGAAACTCTTTAAATTCAGAGGATCCTTTGGCTTCCAGACCAGGCCAGTTGGCACTGGCTGACTGGAGAATGTGAACTGTGTTGGGGTTGCCACGAGCCCATGTGGGGTCTTTGTGACCGTGCAGATATGACTATACCCAAGTATATCTTGCTGGGCAGTGGGTGAGGGCCAGCCTGCAGCCCCACCCGCCCTCCTGGGCCGGCCCTCCTTCTGTGCTGGCTCTGACTACAGTGAGTCCTCGAGGCTTGAGACTGCACCTCAGGTCCCTGTAGGTTCTCTGTAGGTCAGCTGACAGTTTCTCCTATTGTATGGTTAATTAGTGTTGTTGTGGAAATCAACACTAGCAAGTGCTGAAGTGATCATGTGAACATCTGATAAGAAATAGCTGTCTGGCTTTCAGATGCAGTAAAACTCATTGTAATGGGCCTTGCCAAGTTAAGGACATTATTGTTCTGTAAAGCCCCGCCTGGATTTGGCCACATGGCATCTTCTTTCACTGTAACGTTTATGCCATCTTTATCCCTCACTGCCAGCCTTAGAACAGGCTCTCCTGTGGATCTCTTACAAACTAAGTGGTGAATCTCCAAGCAGAGAGTCGGATGTAAGTCAATCTTGTTGCTGCCTTTATAGGTCTGCTTGTCCCTGTCGAGGATGAACACTCCACCCTCCTGATTCTTGGTGTGCTGCTCACTTTGAGATATTTGGTGCCCTTGCTGCAGCAGCAGGTCAAGGACATGAGCCTGAAAGGCAGCTTTGGGTTGACACAGAAAGAAATGGAAGTCTCTCCCTCTGCAGAGCAGCTTGTCCAGGTAGGAGCCACATGGCTTTCTCTAGTCCCTCTGCATAAATGACTGATGTTCAGAGAACCAATTCACTTGCAAGAGAAGCAAAATATTTTCTGTGCCTGACTTGTTTCACTTAATATAATTCTCTCTAGGTCCATCCATGTCATTGGAAATGGCAGTATATCATTCTTTTTTATAGCTGAGTAGTATTCCATTGTGTAGATATACCACATTTTCCATATCCACTCATCTGATGATGGACATTTGGGCTGGTTCCAACTCTTAGCTATTGTAAAGAGTGCTGGGGAACAGGTATACTTTCGACTTGGTGATTTCCATTCCTCTGGGTATATTCCCAGCCGTGGGATAGCTGGGTCATATGGTAGATCTATCTGCAATTGTTTGAGGAACCTCCATACCATTTTCCATAGAGGCTACACCATTCTGGCGAGACTATTAAGCAAGCATGGGCAAAATACAGATACTTTTAGATATGCAAGAACTCAGTTTACTTTTCATGTATGCTTTTTGAAAAAAATTATTTGAAGATGATTCTGGAAAAATGAGAAATAAATTTTGAAAAGGAGGAAGCCCTGGAATCTAAGAAATGAAGTAACCTAGGAACGTGATAAGGGCAATTCTGAGATGATGGTTGTGAAGCATTCAATGCAGATTCAGAGCTTCAAGAATTCTCTATAACAGACAGTATGATTAAAAAGCTGGGGAAAAGGGCACGCGTGTTGTATGTATATTGTAAGCAAGGTGGGGAAGGCAATTAGTAACTTTAGGAAAACCGCCAGATTTATAAAAGAAATTTCACTCAACTATGAAGCAAAGTAAAATGTAGAATACTTTTAAGCAAGTTAATGTATTATAATAAAAGAATCCATTTGACCATTACCCTTGGGACGTTCTCTTTTAAGCAACAGATAGTAATAATGAAATATTTCTTTCTTTTTTGGTCTAGTCATATTAATAGGCTTTGCAATGAATAATATTTATGTACACATGATGAGATGCATACTGTTTGTTTTTAATCAAGTTTTTAGACTCAACTTCTAGGTAGAGCACCTAAGATTTAAACAGTGTTACAAAGCAGCATGTAAATGTTGTAACACTCCACAGTATAAAAGCAGTACTGTTGCTGATAGCATTTAGGAGGTGAAGGAAGGGTAGAGGCTGGTTTCCTTATTAAATAGGGAGAAGTCAGGAGATCCTTTGCTCAAAGTGGATGGCTTAAGAAACCAAGGTGTAAACTGATTACCTGGAGCAGAGGTCCACAACTGTTTTTGGTAAAAGGCCAGAAAGTAAATATTTTAAGCTTTGCGGGCCATGGCATCTCTGTTGCAGCAACTCGTCTCTACCATCACAGCCTGAAAGTGGCCATAGACGGTTCATAAATGTGGCTGTGTTCCTGTCAAACTTTATGTACAAAAGCAGGCGCAGGCCAGACTTGGCCTATAGACCGTGATTTGCCAACTTGAGATTTAGGGTTAAGGAGTTAGCATCAGAAGAACTAAAAACAGGGCCGGCCCGGTGGCGCACTGGAGAGTGCGCCGTTGGGAGTGCGGCGGCGCTCCCACCGAGGGTTCAGATCCCATGTGGAGACCGGTTCCCGCTCACTGGCTGAGCGCGGTGTGGGCGCAACACCGAGGGTTGCGATCCCGTTGCTGGTCCCCGGTACGGGCGCGACACCGAGGGTTGCGATCCCGTTACCGGTCAGTAAAAAA